ATTTTGAGCAAAATATTGAATAAAATTAGAACTTCCAAATTTGTTTCAAAAGAATTTTAAAACAAATGAAGATATTAATAAATATGACAATAATAGCAAGGCTTACTTTTAATTTTTTATAAAACTGGAAAATAAAGATGGTTATAAATGTAGCTCAGTTTCATCTTTGGCCACTGCAAAACTGATCCTTATAGCACGTTTGATAGTAGCCAGCATCTCTTCTGAAAAAAAGTTGATGAAGGAAAGAATGCTACCTTCAAAGATATTCATTTTCCCTATTATTTGGTAGAAAACCTTCACATTAACGTGGATCCATTGTTCCAATTCCTATCTTTTGGAAGAGCAGAAAACTAATTTGGTCGTCCTGTCTTTGACGCCTTTCAAAGATAGATATAATTGTTTCTTCTCTTGGCCAACTATATCCAACCTCTTCCCGGCTTTAGTCTCCAAGTTACTCCTGATCTCTTCCCTGTTTCTAGAAGTGGAGAAATACCTTCTTGCCACAACAGAAGACAAATTGTGATTGTTCTTTGCTCTCTATAGTGAAAAAGAAAAGTGCCGAGTTTGTTACTTCTGAATAAATAAATCACTGTAAAGTTCTATTTCTTTCTAATGAGTGAAAGTCTGTATATTTGTGGGTGTAGTAAGTTTTTTCTCCTGCACATTCAGAAATAGGGATTTTTTAAAAATAAACCAGTATAATTTTGGCCTGCACAAATGATCATCCATCAGGCCAAATGCAAAATGCTGGCTATTCGCTGCCTAGAGTCACCTTGCAGCAACATTGGGTGGTAAACAAATTTAATAAATAAAATAAATAAATATGAACAATGTATAGGCTGTGACAAATATTCAAAAATATTGTTTATTTCATGTCTCCAACTAGTGACAAAGGAGATTTTTCTTTACCGGACTTTATTTCTCTTAAGTAGGGAAGAGCAGATTCATTATGAAGAGGAATCAGTAGAACTGCAAAACTAGAGTCTGCAGAAAATCCCAGAATCAATAAAATACCTTATTCATTTAACAAGTAATGAAAAAAAAAAATCCTTTGCCCAAGTATTTGGACTTGGCATAAGGCAATTTCCTAAATTGCCACTCAATTAGATGTCATATTAAACAGCCTCTAACTTTTGCTGATTGATACATTATGGATTTGGAATACTGCAGCTTTTTATCATGAAGTCACTCCCCTGTCTCCATTCCCAATAGTCCTATTTGTCTAAATAATCCATACATCTGAAAAATTAATTGCTTTCCTGTATTCTTCAAGAAACCCTTGTACACAAATGTTGCATTGGCAGAGAATAAACAATCTATTCATTAAATAAGATTTAATGCATTTTTACATTTAGTATCAGAAGAACAGACTTTGTAGCCACCATTCTTTTTGCAAACAAACAAAACCCCCATTGTTTACCCCAGCAGTTAAGTGTGCCAATTGATCACATTGGTATATAGTTTCCCCTAAGATGCTGGAGTAGGTAGTACAAAACTGAAACACTCTTTGGAACCAAGGAGCTATTGGAATAAATTGGAAATGTTGGGTGGGGGGAATCAATAAAAGTGCCCCCTAGGAATAATCTCTGGACAGTTTTCCTTTTTTAGCCACCAGGTGGTACTCTTGGATTTCCAACCCTGGACTTCCTGCTATGGCAGTGCTAGGAAGAGCAGCCTTACAATAGTAGTACAGCCGGCCTTCACCTGACCCTCCAGATGTGCAAGATTATTGGTTTCCATCCACCCCACGGGCAAACACAAATAGCTTTAGAAACAAGTCTGCTGCTCCTTTGCTAAAAAGCAAATTCTTTTTCATTTGCTGAACCTCGGGAGGCATTTTAGGTCCATGTGACACCATAAGAAGGTAAGCTTGGGTGGATACAAAAACAGCCTGATTGTGTAAAAACCAAGGCAGCTTGAATAAAAACCACAGGCATTCACACAAAGACAACTTCTTTATTAGGGTGAACCAAAAAGTCCCAAAGTGAACAGCAATTATGTAAGATGCTCAGAGCTCTTCATCAGGCTGAATGTTGCTGCAATGACAACAAAAAGGCATGGAAATTTCATACCAAAGCTAGAAAGTTAATGTTGATCAAGATGACTTAAGCAAGATTTTAGGCTGATCTAGGTTCTATTCTGCATTAAAAGACAATGGAACAAAGAGACACACTAGAGGCTGCTCAGCCAAAATGTGATTTGGTCTTGGTTTAGCGCAGGCGTCTCCACACTTGGCAATTTTAATACCAGTGGACTTCAACTCTCAGAATTTCTCAGACAACCATGGCTTAGTGCAATTCATGAGCCCAACTAATGGCTGATTCAAAGGGTATGAAACTCACCAAGAGAACCTAATTTAGTTAGGATGTTTCCAGACTGAAGGTGCCTAACATACTTATCCAAAGAGATTGTATAGTTACCTGGTCATTTTCTCCCTAATGGATTTCTTGCAACAATGAGGAAATAATGGGAACAAGCCATATGAAATCACATCCTTTAGATTTTAAGTAATATTTATTCTTTCCCATGCTGATTCCAGCAAATGTCATCTGAAAATATTGTAAAGGCAGGTTACTACATTATGCTAATCCATGAATTAGTTTTGTATAAACCCATCCATTCTGGTTTGTAAACTGTGGTTTATGATTTAGCATATTTGAATCTAACTATTATGGTTTATTGCATGCACCATGGTTCAAACTGTAGCTTAGTGTGATGTGATCAGTTGTACTTGTTTAAAGATGCCCTCTTAACCAAATCATGGGGCATTTCTCCCAGCACATATTACATTAGCATATATTCTCCTGGTAGTTGTTACAATTTTCTTTCAAAAAGAGGTGAAGAGGAGTGAGCAGGCCGCTCAATCCTTTGATATGTAGATCTGCATATAATCATACAACCTCAGTTATCTTAGATAAAAATCGTGCAGGATCTTAGAAGCACAAATCAGAAATAGGCACCACAATTGAAATACTGCATGAATTGGCTTCAGACTTAAGAACCGGCTGGTTTTGCTTCTCCCCTTCCCCATTTCAATCCCACAGCCCAGTTGAATCCTGTCTTTTGTGCTAGATATGTGATGTGTTAAGGGCCATGCTGTCTTTTTAGTCACAGACACTCACAAGACATCCAGTGTGAGTCAAGAAATTTATTGGACTTCTCATCCATTTGGGAAATTTACATCCAGTGAAAAGACAAATGCTTACACTTCCCTCACACCCTGCCCAAGATCACATAAAAAGCTGTGCTTTTTAGAAACAATCCTTAAATACTTTTATTAGAAACAATTGCCCCAACCAATCCCCCACCCCTTTGGTCTCTTTTAGCAGGAAGTTTTGCTGAGCAGAGAACTCTGAGCAGGGCAGGGAAATAAATAAATCCAATGTGAAGAGCAAAGATTCCTTTTCATCTACTACAACCCGTGGGAGGGAGGGAGGGTCAGATTTGAGAAGGACGGTGGAGAGGCATAAGAATTCCCTCTGTGGGCAAAAAGAAACTTATTCTTGGTGGCTACTTAATGGGCTGTGCTGATAGCTACATGGAAGCAAAACGTTAGCTGTCAGAATCGAAGGTGGAGGAGGACCAAGTGCTGGTGTAAAGATGTCACTGCAGCATAATATCCTCAAGGAGAGGCTTAAACTGGGAGATCTGGACCTGGTTTTCACACGTGACAATTTCCAACATGGATTTAACTTAATGTGGGAAAATGCTAGGTGTACTTGAAAACTTACCACATCTCAAAAAATCCATTACCGCTTAACCAAAAACCTGATCCAGAGAGAAAAAAAGAGAGAGAGATTGAGCCACTAATGCTTTTCCTGTACAACTGAAAGCTATTTTCTAGTAAGTTGCATTAGATGACGAGCAAACCAGTTTTATTTTTCTGCATGTAAACCTAGCACTTTACTAGTTCTTTTTTTAAATGCATATATTCATCTAGAACAATAATTTTGTCAGCAAACATCAAACAGAGTGGAGTGGATCTCAGGCATACTCTGCAGAAGTATGATCGATACATAATGCATACAGTTGTCCTACAGGTAGCTTTCCACATTGCCTTGGCAAAGAAAGATCCATATTTATCAAACTAATGCAAAGAAAAAAAGGATTGGCAGAGCAAACAAGCAATTCTTCTCTGTAAATGGCTTTGGGTCTGGTCCTTTTTCTTACATAAGCTCAAATATCAGATCCTCTGCTTTGCACCCCTCTCTTTGGGATGCCAAGAAGACAGGGGGTTAAGCTCCTGAAAAACACCTGCCCTCCTGTGCCTTCAAAAAGCAATAAAAGACTTTGGGGGAAAAACAAACAATCCATTTCCTCTCCCCGACTCTTAATCTGTCCCTCCATGAGTAGAGAATTCCCCAGTTCTGTTTTCTAATTTTGTTCCTCCTGGTGATTTTTCAAGACCAGCCATAGGTGAGGTGATTAAATAATATTATTACAATAACAACTTTTTGGTGAATCAAGCTTGAGTTGGCTTCTTAAAGCAGGCTAAGGTCTTCCCCCCTCCCATGCCACCCTGTAGTCTTCCTCTTTCAGTGCACATTTTTTAGGTGGAGTGATTCTTTTGATTTACATTAGTGAATGCACAAGACAAAGAGAGGGCTTTCATCACTACAGGCCAATAGTCTACTGATCCAAAGATGATTATATGATAACCTACACATCTTCCCTCTCTATTGCCTGTTCCCTCACCATAACTGATGTGCCCTTCTTCTTTTCTGTGCTCATTGCTCCCAGATTCAGGTGAACTTTCAGCCGGAAATAAGCATTTCCGTCCTTCTTCTCCCAAGGGTGAGAATCCAGGAGTGTCTCCTGTATAGCTGCTTTGGCCTCAAAAGAAGAGTGCCAGGAGGCGTACAGTTCCTAAAAGGAGGTGTCTTTGGGAGAAGTCTCACAACCACACCCTCAGCCTCTCCCTGGAGCCTCCTTGCATATACAGTCACATGGGACTTCCCCAATCTGCAATGCAGAGTTGCAGAATTTCCCAGCCACCTCATTCATTCATTCATCCTGGGTTTGAGGATCTTCATCTGGATCCCTCTCCTTTTTGCATCAAGAGGCTCTTCAACCAAAAATAGCAGCATATGGCCCCATTGCTGGGCACTCCCTTCTGTAGCCAACAGCACAAAGAAGGCGGAAACAAAAATCGAAACCTTCCTTCCACTCTTGTTCTTGGTGTAGGTGATGGGAAGCCAGAGGTCCCACCTCCTTTCCCCCACCCATTAGGGTTTTGGCAGTCCCTCCCAAGAACCAGTGGAGGCCACTGGGTTTCTCCCTGTCTCAGCTGTCTCAGCGGCAATGGAAAACATTCAGTCAGCTCTCAAACTGCACTGTGGCCAACTGGTGGAAGCTATCTGAAGCTAGGAACATTTGGCCCAGGCGGTAAAGCAGGACAGAGTACCAGTGCACACCTTCTGGCTGGGTCCAGTCACGCCCTGCCCAGTGGTGATACAGTCGCAAGGGCCCGAAAGCCCACTGAGCCAAGTGGTGGTCCCGCACCAGAGCAAAACAAGAAGCCACCACTTCATCCACCACCAGAGTCCCGTGGCTGGTGAGGGGGGCATAGGCACCAACATCCACCTGTAAGGAGACAGCCGTTATCCTGGCTGGCTGCAGCCGTCCCCCCTCAGTTACCAGCACGTATTGGCCTGGCTGGACCAGGCTGGCAAAAATAGTCTTCATGGGTGCAGTTGCGTTCTCCCCCACAAAAAGGAGGTGTGCTGCCGTGAGAGCCAAGCGGCGGGGTGGGTCCTGGGTTTCAACGACGTGGAAAGCGGTCCGTGGTGACACTGCCTTATCCAGAAATGCCAGGAACTCACTGTAGACGAGGTGACCTTGCGCATCCATGGCCTGGACCTTCTGCCCTGGCTTCAGTGCCCACAATGGAATCTTGGTCCCACTCTCTAGAGTTGTCAAGGCTCGAGCTGGGAAACAACCTCCCGTCTTTGCCGCAGCTGAATGCTCTGAACAAAAAGAGAGAAAGAGTCGCAGTGTGGTTATTAGAAAGAGGGCAACTCAAAGACAGGCATAAAAATTCATGGGAGATGGAATAGGGTGGGAGGGTCTCCGGAGATTGGATAAATAGGACTGTATAAATAAATGTCTTGCTGCTGTGGTAGAGGGGAAAGCCATTCTCCGTGGTTATCCAATTAAACAGTTTTGAAGCCATCCGCAGCAGATTTGTCAGGAAGAAATATAGACACAGAAATAACACAGACAGTGGAGAACATATAGAAGAAATGTGGTTTTCTAGCTGTAACCTAGCCAGGAAGAAATATAGACTCTGAAATTATAGAGCCGGCTCCATACACCTTCTGGAAGCTTTAACACTGCTTCTATATAATAGCAGACAATTAATTCTCTGGGTGGATGAATTGCAAATGTGTTTTTTTTAAGCGGTTTGATGGAGAATGGGAAATGGACTTCTACATCGAATTAAGGAACAATTTTATTTGTTTTTTGCAGAGAAGATAGATTGACTTTGGAGACTTGGCATATTGTATTTAATCGATCAGCAATTGATAAGCGATGGTATAAAGAAGGAAATGTGGATATTTGAACCAGGATCAATTAAGATTAATATTTGGGATGATTGGGGACTGAAGCCATGGTAAATTTTTTATGAGTTGATCATAATAACAGCTTGTTAACAGAGGGTTTTAGAAGTTCAATTTTGTTTTTTTCTTATTGCTGTCTACAATTTCTCTTATTCTTCTACTTTTACATAATAAGTTTATTATTATTGGTTATACTGTTAACCATTTTGTTACTAATATAGTTCATAAATGACAGGTTAACAATTTGTAAATAGATTTAGTAGTTTAACAGTTTGAAATTCTTTTAGCCTGTTATGCTTGGGATGGGAATCCAACATTGCTGTATTATACTAATCAGCATTCAACTAGGGAGGATGTTAGATTCTTTAAGACACTTAGTTTGTTTCTTTAAGACACTTTTTTTTTGTTGTGTGTTTTTTTTCTTTTGTTTTTTTTTAAATATTTTGGTGTTTTGTATTTTAATCTTTTTTCAATAAACTAAAATTTTCTATTAAAAACAGTTTTGAAGCAACGCGTGAAAGTTGGGTTTGTTTCTCAATCTGGAATGACTGGCACATCCAAAGTTCCACCTGGATGGCGCTGTACGAAGGATAATCAGTTATAGTTATGCAAAAAAAGGGAAACTGCTTCTTTTACACAATTTAAGAGATGGGGTGCAATCCGTTTCAGCCAGTCTAACTTCTGTGCTGCTAATGAATATAGAATTAATCTGTATTGGGTTTTTTTAAATCAAAATCAAAATCAATTAATTGCTCCCAAACTTCCCAAAGAATTTTAGAATCTGTTCTTTGGTCATAGTACTTGAAAGCAACTTTTATTCCAACTCCTTCCAATTAGATTTTTGGGGAAAATTTCTTATGGCAGGAACAGGTTCAAAATGGAACAAGAGTGCTCGCAACAGCTATAAGGAAGAGAGAATTTCAGCAAATACAACTTGCATGACAGAGCATATCACAGATATTCTGAGTCCAGACCTCTTTGGCAATCTCCCTGCATCACTTCTCCAAATTCATCATTGTACAAATATACCCCAAGTATTTTTTTTTTCTGAAGGAAAAAAGAAGAGTGAAGAACCACTTCTGTGGCCCATAGAACCGAAGGACCAGATAAGGAAATCCATCCTTCACTCGAAAGATCGACAATCTTATTGTTCTCTAAATACTTGGACAACAAAACACAATTTTACATGCCTTTGTCTCTTAAAGGTCTGTATTGCTGTAGGAGGGAGAATAAGAGGAGAGCAGATGAGACAGTAAGCAATGTTATTTCCTAGCCAGCCACAGTTGCACTCCAGACATCAAGACTTCAAGTCCTGGGGTAAAAGAGGAACCTCCCTTTTCTCTATCAGCACTTCTTCATTCTCAGAGAAGAGATTGGGGAGATTTATGTATTGATTTCTCCTATTTACTGTATGTCACTGCACAGAAACAAATGATGGCATAAACGAACAACATATGGCAGATACAATTCAATCATAATTTTTCTGCATAACTTTGTTGTTCCAATTTAAACATGATTGTATTTCCTATGTGCCAAGACCAATCTGCCTTCTTTGGTCAAGTCTTGGTATATCTCCCTGGGATTCTGCACATAGCTGCTACAGGAAAAAAGCTATTCTGCAACTATGTTATCTTATTTGACCATAGATTGAACAGAGAAGTATATGTAGATTTGTAATTCAGGAATCCCAATGTTCTCCAGGGGGTCATTACAGAGAGCTGCACAATAGCATAACAGTAACCACTGGTTTAAGCTTAAATTGGAAATAACTCTTCCATGTGAAAATTTTCCAAGTTTGTTCTAGAAATTCATTGTACTGGGAAAATAATTTTTGTTACCAGAACCAAGCACATGTTGTGCTACAAAGAATATTAAAACAATTAAACTGTTCAGTTTTGTTTTTCAATATTTCATAGATATTTACAGAGTCCAAGCAAGATAAGAGATGGACAGACACTTTCTTGTCCCAGGCATACTATATACTGCCTAACCAGCAGAGACACATAAGCCAGGTTACAGAACTGATACAGATGTTTAGCAACTGTTATCAGGCCAGATATCAGGGTACACAGCATTACTGGTCACATAATTGTGATTAAACACAAAAATCCAATTGCCATTCAGCCCGTTCCTTATCATTATATAGTTTCTCTACAACCCTTCTAAACAGCTCAGGGCTAAGGTAGCCTATCTGTACTGCCCACTAGATTTCCTAACCTCCATCTGCCTGAAATCCTGGATGAAGATCTCTTTTAAGATTGTCTGTTCTCAAGTGCCGGTTCTCAGTACTAGCAGACACTGGATTCTCTCTTCAGTGACCAGTTCTTTACCCCTGCAAAATTCTTCTCCTCCAGTTGTCCACTATCATGAGAATGTTTCTGTCTTCGAATAATTTGTAATGTTGGAACATCCATTTAGAAATGTGAGCATCCAGAAACAGCAGAATACCCCAACAGTGTGCACGACATTAATAAGATAAAGCAAAATTGCTTTGCTATTTTTGCCTGCAGAGCTTAGAGGAAGTATCTTAAATATATGATCTGGGAAAATCGCCTGGCGGTGATCTACCAGCAGTCCAGGATCCCAGCTAGGGCAACAGGCAGGCCACGGTATCCAGTGCAACAAATCAATTATGAATACATCCACAGCAGTTCTGCTGCTATCAAGGCTTTGGATACCAAAAATCCAAGGGGAAGAAGCTGTTGGACAAAGTTTCTTGATACTTGGCTGGCAAAGCTCCATCCAGTGGTCTACAAGGCAGCATTGTCCATCCTAACACCAGAAGGGAGGGGCTGTGCTCCACTCTGCCTGGGCCAGTCTCTTTCTCCAGCGCCGTTCACTCTGGATAGGCTTGCAGTCAATTGATGGAGATTTGGCTGCTGGGCCAAGCACTGTAAGATCAAGCCCGGGCAAAGGCACTTCGTTCCCATCAGCGACAGAGCCTGTGGGTCTGGAAAGGGCCGGGACACCCGCAGGTCATGCTAATGGTCAAAGGACAGGAACAAGAGGCCACAGTCAAAGCACGGTACTCTGGCCACCAGGGGGAACCTGGTGCACATAATCCCAACAGACAACATAGGCCTTAGGAGTGGGCCATGGCTCAGGGATGCCTTCTGCTGGACAGAATCTACACTTCTGGTCTTACATCTCTCTCTCACACACACACACATTCACACGCACACACAAAAACTAGCTGCTTGGTGGAGAGTAAGTGAGATAAAAGAAGTACCTTCTATAAAACCACCTTTCCTGCAGCATTAACATAAGCACCTCAATTTAGGTGGGAGTTCTTACTCTGGCCCAGTGGAGAAGACCCTGAGGGGAAGCCATGCCCAACAAAGGTTATCTAAATCCTCATATGAAATATACATCCTATATTGCCTTACCATAAGCAGACATGGGATGGCATTTCTTGTTAATTACCCCCACCTCACCTATCGTATTAACTCTGGGAAAGAAAAAGTCCTTGGTCAAGAATCAAGGAATTTCTTCCCATCAGTTCCATTGGCAGCCTCAATGCCATCAGCTACGAGGACAGATTCCTTGGAAACTACACAGCAGATGTGTGGGATCACACTGGTGTTGCTGATGCAGCAACCAAGGCAAAACATATAATAAGGCGCCATCTTTTCCTTCCACCCGAAATTCTACAGATCCTTCTATCTTTCTTATCTTTGTGTCTCCCGCTTCCTCAGAGACCCCATTATCTCCACTGTTGCATTTTATGCCACTCTCAAAATAGCGCCTCACCTGATTTAACAGAACAGTGAATGTGAGCCTTGGATTCATAATAAACCCAGTCAAAACCAGCCTCCACAGCCAGGCGTGCGAGCATCCCATACTTGTTGCGGTCCCGGTCAGAGGTGGTAATGTCAACAGCACGGCCTTCATAGTGCAGGGACTCCTCTGAGTGGTGTCCATCTTCATCCCAACCTTCAGTCACCCGGAGCTTCACCCCTGGCCACTGGTTCATCACGGAAATGGCTAGGGAGTTTAGGCGGTCCTTGCAACGCTGCGGAAGAAGAACAGCAAAAGAGGAAGCGATCAGCAGTGCAACGCTCACAGCCTGGAAGGAAGCATTATTCCATAGCCACCATCCCAGCTTGGCAACAAACAGGCCATGGTATCCGGTGCAACAACTCAGTTATGAATATATCCACAGCGGTTCTGCTGATATCAAGGCTTTGGGTACCCCAGATCCAAGGGGGAGAAGTTGCTGAAGCCAAGTGGACTCTGACACTTCCAATCACTAAGGGGAGTTTGTTTACAAAAGGTTGCTTTTAAAATCCAAACATCCTTGAATGTCTGGAGGGTAGGGAGGGAGGAAAGGTGCAATCCATCTTTTTCAGTTTTATTTCTATACTTAAAAAAAAACCATAATGGAGTAATAATATGATTCCATGCCAACAACCTAAAGCATGGGTGGCTGGGGAATTCTGGGAGTTGAAGTCCATGTATCTTAAAGTTGCCAAGGTTGGGAAACCTCGATTTAAAAGAATAATACAGTAATCAGAATATGACATTCTCATTCACAACTGAAAATAATATAGTCTCCTCTATCAGCCTGCAGTTTTTCCGTCTCATTCTATTCCCTATTTAATCTAGGCCTTTACTCACATTAAATTAGTTTTTTATTCAGAAATAAGTTAATATAACTTAAAATGCTGGAGATCTTCATTTTGCTCAGATAAGGATTGTGTTCAGTGTTCCAGCTATAGATATCTACCACAAATCCAATTGTCTTGCTGGCAAAATGGACCCCTCCCTTCATAGAGGTTGGCCGCAGCCCAGGGCCGCATCGGAATGACCGACCTACGCAAGAAGAGGTTATGCCACAAAGTCCACTCTGTGTAGTTGCAACTTGATGGCTGATGTGCATATGTAATTCAGTTTTTGCCTGATACCGTGATGAACATTTTGCCACTTGTCTTCTCCCTCAAGCAGAAATTGTGACTGCTCTCAATTAGCAGTGGAGGAATCACCATTTCTGGATGGGAGTAACTTGAGAAAGTTACACTGCAGAACACCAAATCACAACCTGACTTATGCTATGTAACATTTCAAGACAGCAGAATAGAGAAGACCATACAGATTCATTTCTAGAACTGCATACAGCTTAGAGTTTAAACTGATCCACTTTAAAATAAGGTAAAACTTGATATAAAGACATTTGCGTCAATGCCTGTTAACTGCATAAATAGGTCGGTTTGGGGGTTTTTTGGGGGGGGGGGGGAGGGGGAGTCAATACATTCTTCCGGGATGCTGCTTTGCTTTTACCTTCCTGGTATAGCTCATAGCCTTGGGATTGCTGTACCCAAGTATTAATTAGTCCAACACCCATCCCACTTATTTTTTTCCAATTCAGCCAAGGTCAGTTAAGTGTAGCCACTTGCTGTGGGGTAATTCTCCATTTGTGGAGGGAAGAGGGAATGGCCTTGACGGACAAAAGAGAGAGCTGCTACCAAGGCAACAGTCAGATTAAAAGGGCCTGAGCCCAGGTCAGGAAGGTAAGGTGGGTAAAGGATTCAGGCCCCTTCCTAGTTCATTCAAAGATAAAGCGAAGGGGAGAAAAGGCACATTCAAATTTGCAAGATTCTGTTATTATCTGTCTGTTCCAATGAAAGTAGTTTTAAGATCTCATACGGCTTTGGTTTCTCAGTCTAGCCTATTATCCGTATCTCATCTATCCATTAGCTCCTTAACCTATTTAAAAATTCACCGTTAAATAATAATTTTGCCAATACTTTCTATCAAAATGTGAATTTCCAAATGAACAGAATGACAGAATTTGCTGCAGCAGAAAAGGTCTGTTGCACCTGGAAGACTGACGTATTTATGATTGGAATTACATTCTGGAATTGCATTCATCGGATGCCGAATATATAATCCTACATTAGAAGACATTGAGCACACAAATTTTGTTGGTGGGAGTGAATAGCAGAGAGGAGCAAGGCCAGGAAGACAAAAAAAGTGACAGTGATAATTATACACTTGTAACATAATTATTGTGCCTAGGAACAAATTAGTATTAGTTCTAACAAAACACTAATTAATGTAGATGTTGTTAAAAAGTGTAATTCCAGTTCAAGCCAGAGAGGATAGAACAGAATTTTCTGATTAACTTCTGCTTATTTTCTACATGAGTGAATCTTCTTTTCAAACAATGCTGGCCTTAAGGATCTTGTAAATCCAAATTTCTTATGTCATATTTCTAAATGTATTTTAGATTAATCTCATGTACATTTCAAAATGTATAACTCTATTTGCTGAGGGAGGCAGGGAGTTCAGGTAAGTGATTTAAGAATTAATGCACAGGTATATTTGGCAGGTACAAAAATTATTGGAAAACCATGTTCCTACAGTATCTGTCCCACAAATATTCACAAATATTCCTCCAGCATCTCTAATACTTTCCTCTCATAGAGTTGTGTAAACCACTGAGTTTAAAACATTTCAATATCAAAAATTTGTCCTGAATCAAACCTGAAACTGTAGCCATGTTCTAAAAGTTTGTCTTAATCTTGGGGAAAAAAACCCTGGTTTTGTTCTAAGATTGTTTTGTTTGTTCCAAGAAGCTTCAGGTTCTATGATTGGCTTGGTATAAAATTCTCCCACCCCTCACTACACTTTCTGCCATCATAGCCAGTAAGTATCAGGGACTGGTTCCAATAGTGCTCTCAGCCAAGACTGAGTGGATGGAGAAAGCAACATTTGCTTAAGTACATACATCAAAATCTAAGGGATTGTAGATGTTTCTTCAGTTTAAGCAAAGCTGATCACACAAGCCTTTGACCAATAACAGGCTCTAGGTTCCCAGTTCCATCCTAAAACCAATATTAGGAAAACTATAGCAAAAAGAAAAGAAAGCATTAGAACTGAGACAACAAATGGGTGCAGATAATGTTCAGACACTCTTTGTTACTGACCACTGCTAATGGACAACAGAAACATATTGACTGGATTTAAAAAGCAACTGCAGACTTTTGTGATGTGTCTTTTGTGATGTGTCTGCAGACTTTTGTGATGTGATGTGCAAAATGCAGAACCAATGAGAGCTTCAAGTTGGACACCTTTTTTAGCTAATGGCGTTAGCAAACCCAGACTGCATTTCCTTCCTTGTTGGAAATTGGAATGGTGAAAACTTGACCAAAAGAGCATAGGGAAAATGAAGGAAAGGACATAAAACACAGCCCCTTTCCTCTCCCCTTTGGTCTTATCTCTTATCAGACAGTATGGTGGGGACCTAATAACCCATCAAGTGCTGCAACAATACAATCACCATGGCCCCAATCAGGCTAGCTAGCGATAAGGGATAATCAAAGTTGTAATTTAACTATCCCAAGAGGGTCACAGTTTCTCCAAGTGTTTACAGACTCTTTTAGACCAAGACTTTGCAAATTCATGTGCCCTTGAGGGGGTCTGTTTTTTATTAGTATCGGGAAGCCCACTCATCATAAAGTAAAGGTAAAGAAGTCCCTGTGGATTTTACTTGGCTAGTCATTGCTGACTATAGGGTGCGGTGCTCATCTCTGTTTCAAAGCCATTGAACCTCTGAAGACATTTCTGTGGTCATGTGGCCAGCATGACATCATGGAGTACTGTTATTTTCCTACCAAAGTGGAACCTATTTACCTACTTGAATTTGCATGCTTTCAAACTGCTGAGTTGGCAGGAGCTGAGGCTGGGATGGGAGCTCACCCTGTCTTGTGGTGCTTGGGTCTCAAACTCAGGCTGCTGGCTTCCCAACTGACAAGCCCAGCACCTTAACCGCTGAGTCACTGTGCTGCTCACACATCATAGCTACTTGAAAATAGGCGGATACTAAGTGGTCAGTTATTCTTTGCACTTCATGAGTCACACACTGGGGATGTGAAGCAAAATATTCACCTGAGGTACTAGCGCACAAATATATACCTGTACAAAAAACTCTCAAGAGAGTTGCTGAGTTACATAATGACTTGGGCAAAAGCACGATATTTCTATTTCACATATGACTGACACCTGAGCAAAAAGATAAGTAATTACAGATAGTCCTTGACTTATAACAGCACTGAAGAAGTGACTTATGACCATTTTCCACACTTATGGCCATTGCAGCATCCCCACGGTCACGTGATTTACATTCGGATGCTTGACAGCTGGCTCACATTTATGACGGTTGCAGTGTCCCGGAGTCATGTCATTCCCCTTTTGCGACCTTCTGGCAAGCAAACTCAATGGGGAAGTCAGGTTCACTTAATAACCGAGTTACTAATTTAACAAATGGGGCAAGAAAAATCATAAAATGGGGCAAAACTTAAATTTCTCATTTAGCAACATAAATTTTGGGCTCCATTGTGCTCATAAATTAAGCACTACCTATATAATGCCAGTTGCAGCAAAAAAGGATTTGTTGTTTCATTACATTTTAGTACTTGATGTCATTGCTAAAAAAAAAAAATATCACCGAGAGTCCGAATTGCTTTCCTGATATATTGCAAATAACTGAGTGATCTTCCAGTAGGTCATGTCTATACAACCCTGCTATAGGCTGAAAGAATTCCGGAAGTGTGTAGCTCTTAACTTCAGCAAAATTCCGGGGCCACCAGATTTCAGGAGGACCCATCACCACAACTCATCGCAACTTTTTTTACAGCTTCTTCTACATGTTTTAGTGGCTTTTTATTTGCTTTCAGAGCTACAGCGGGTTGGAGGGATTATTCTTTAAGAGTTCAGTCTTTTTCTCAAAACACTTTTGTAGCAGAAGCTCCCTTAAAACATTGTATTTATTGTTGTGGTTGTCACATGTTTTTTCCTTGGGTGCCACAAAGTCTGGGTGTAGACCAGTGTCCTGTACAAATAAGAGTGGTTCACTATTCACTTTTGAAAATGTAACAGTTATACAGGCAATCGTTTGTTAAAGGCACTGTCTCTTCTCATTTATTTCATTTTTGCAAAGTTGAGTCTACTTTGCATACCAGCCTGCATCGTTTCTTCAGAATCTCAGGAATCTGATATCAAGAAGTGACATAT